TGCAATGTTTAATTTCAGGCTTTTTTTTTTACGATATTATGAAGGTTGTGAGATTCAAAGGGATTCAAAAGATAACAACACAGTGTAAAGCCTCAAGTTTGTGTAATTATTTACACATGATTTATTGCAAGAATGGGCTACGTAATACCCTTGTAAGAAGTATTTTAAACTGTATAAAAAAATTTGAATCAATTGCAAAATTCCTTTACTTATCAGGACGGCATATGACCTGTGTGACCTGACCCGTTTGGAACTCTATTATTGGCTTTGATTAACCACTTTATCAAGTTCTGTCTTAGTCATAATTTGAATCTCTGGTGTTAATTGATGCCATAATTTTCCAAAAGCATCATATTTTAATGATTTCAATTTGTTACCTTCTTCTAGACCAGCTAGAGAATCTCTGTGGACTGATTTATAACTCATTTCAGCTGGCAAGAATACAATTGATTGAGTTATTCTATTGGTGGTTCTTCCTAGACTTGGTAATCCATGGACTTCTGCATAATTTTCTAGGAAATTCTTTACTACTTTAGCAACATTTTATCAATCACCATTTTAGGTTTCCATTGAGGCATTCTTTTAATATTACTATGAATTCTTGGTAGAAGACCATTGTTTATCAGATGATACCTGATATTTTCATAATAAGCCCTATCAATTCCCAACATATTGAGATAAGTTTTTTGACAAAGATATGTATTGTAATCTCAGTAATAGAAAGTTTTTTTTATTAGATCTGGTTTCTTTTTAAGGCCTCTACTAGTGCTTGTTGATCTACCATCCATTGCTTTAAGTTGGGCCATTAAAAATATGTCTTGTTCAGACTTAGAAAGAGCTTGAAAAGATTCCCTTAATTCTGCAAATTGTTCCTTGGGAATTCTTGAAGAGCAACCACAACTACATCCTTTTTCTAAAAATTAATTGCTTTGTGATAATCAATAGAACCATTATATTTATTATTATTTTTCATATACACTTATCCCTATATATAAATTTTATGTTCACTTTGTAGGTTTTCATTGAAAAATTTTCTTATATTGATTACAAATTACTTTATTTATAGTTTACCATTTATAAAATTGAATTACACAAATTTAATTAACGCAGCTATAGGTAATTGAATCAGAGCAGCTTGGCTGATTTAGCCAACATAAATTACAGTGTGTTTCAAAAAAAAACCAGAAAATTATTGTTGTTGGAAAATCTTTGTAACTTTATTAAAAAACAACCCAACTTGTTTCAAATAAAATTTAAACAAAGCTTTGCTTTTTTAAAGTTATTTTCTAACTGAATTTGATGTTTAGTTTTTGAATTTTACTGTTTTTTTTTTTTCCAATTACATTATTAGAATAAAAGGGATACATCTACCTGACAAACACATCATATTATGAGCATTTCATTCTCAAATATCTATTTCAATATTAATAAGTTGAATAAAATAGGCGATTTGGCTCATAGAAGAGTTAATTGTTGGAGAAAATGGGATCACAATTGAAATAATGGGATCACAATTGAAATAATGGAATAAAAGTCAAAATTTTCAAGGTCTGGGACAATTCATTATAAAAAAAAAGAGATCTAACTCCTGATTTGTTTTTAATTGATCAAAAAATCAAGGTGTTGGTTTATAAATTAAAACTAATGGTGAAAGCATTTTATATTAAAGTATAGTTAATAAAATGTTCTATCGAATGGCCATTTTTCATACAAATCAATGCAGTGGTTGTTCCACAATGATTGATTTAATTTTTCCAGTTTTTTTTGAAACACACTGTATATAAATAAAAGGGAAAGAGGTTTGATTTATAATTTGAGAAATACTAGCTTATAATAAGTTGGGATAACTCATCCCAACTAGATATCGGTGAATACATTCAAAAATTTGCATGGAAACCTGATAAGGATAATAAGAGTGTCCAACGTTTCATTTCTCAGCCATGTTCGTGAGGAAATAGAATTATAACGGCTTATAAAGAAAGGGCTGTTGCCCGATCCATATATATATATATATTATACCGGAACCTGGGGAGCGTTTTGAATATATAGTAGTAGAGTGGGATGTATCGAAGAAAGTTGGGGGTTATATGGAATATCCAGAGGTGGCAAAGAAACTTAACAAAAATATCGACATCATCGGATATTATCTAAAAAAAGTGGTCAGCCTTTGTGCAAAATTCATAAATAGTAGTAATATTTTGAACCATCTTTTGATTCCAAGGATTTAAAAGGTATTACAGATCCCGATAAACTCTGGAGAAAAAAAGATGAATTAGCGGATAAGAAATTATATCAAAGATTTGCGAGATGGTCCTAAAAAAGAAGAAACTATTATATCTCATTTATGGCAAGAGGTTATTATTCGTGCAGTACAACTATACCCGATTTCAGTGAATCAAATCCAGAGAAATCGGGAATATATTCATTGTTCTAAAAGAAATACATATTACAATTATTACCTTAATGTTCTAGATCAATCTGCAAGATCTATTCGATCAAACTATCAGAACTTCTTACAAGGCTAATAAGGATTTTAGAGAAGCTTTGTATAAATTAGTTACACGATCTCATAAATGTAATTTAGGTATACTACAATTTTAGAGCGATATATATTATCTTATAATCTGGAAATTGAGCCCCTTTTGAGTTGATATCTTGTAATGTATATACATTGGCCATAAACTATATTGCTTATCCTATGTATAATAAAAATAGATATATTAAATGTAAATAATACTGATAAAAAAAATCATGCCTGTTACAGAATTCTAAGATTAAATACAATTACCATTGTTTTATATAAGATGCAGATATGTTCGAAAGTTTGTTTATATGAATACTGCAACAAAATGTCTCAATATAATTGTTGTAATGATTTCAATTAAATGGTTTTTAATTTCATCAAGGTTTTTATTCAAGTCGTAATTTTTTTGCTTACGTCACGTTTGACTTAACGAGGGCGAATATTTGACGCAATAGTTTTACAATTCTGGTTTGTACAAGGATTATATATTCCAATAAAATGATTTAATAGAATCATTTGCTTATTTTCATGCTATTAAAAAAATAGAATTACATCAAATAATATTTTTCTTTACATCACGCAAAAAAAATAATTGGGTCATAGGAAATTGAATAAACGAGAAGCATATGAAATTACGCTAGCAGACAAATAAAAATAATGTAACTATTTGATTTTATTTGTATTTAGTAATTTGAATTAAATTTCACCAAATTCAAATGTCTCTATTGTAGTCACGTAGAAGGATTTACAGTAGTGAATAAAACTCAATGCTGGGAAGGTTTTCAATGTTTTGATATTTAAGATGTTGAATGATTCAAGATTTCCTTTTTGAAGTTCTGTTCTTGGGGCCTTTCCATGAATTTAAGTTAGAAAACTAGAAATATACACTATCATAAAAGATACTAAAGCTTTATCATTTGCATACTCCTGTGGATCACAAGCATCAATTGGGCTTGTCCAGCAAAGTGTGTTTAAATATTCAATTATATCGTTTTCTAATTATTTCCCTTTTTTTCCTTGTTAGGTAAATTTTTATTATTATTTAAATTTTCTTCAATAATTTTGATTGATTTGTTTTTTAAAAAAAGTACTTCTGATTGTGCTGTAATTCTTGGGTTTCATTTGACGTATTCTTATATAGGAGTAGCTTACATATCATTAAATAGAAAACATATTTCCAAAGTGTGTATTCCTCCAAAAATTTGGTTAGATATAAGAAAATTAATATTATGACTAAACCAAGAATTAATTTAACGAATGTCAAAGAAGTATTCGATTACTTCAGCAAGGACATATTGTTTGCATCCTTATCCAATTACCACACACAATAATAATAAATTTTTCAGAAAAGAAACGAGAAAGTATTGACTTAATGAAAGAGGATAAGAATTTTGTTTATGAAATCTGGGATATGGGAAACCCAAGAAAAAGCAAAATTTCTTGCATCTTTTTTCCTATTATAATAAATGGCATAATTGAGAAAAAGAAAACCTTGCTAAAAAACAAAAAAGTGTTTAATGATATGGAATCTAACCTAATGGACGAATGGGAAGCTTTACAAAAAATCTTTTTTTAATTGTTACAGCAACAAAACCAAATATCAAGAATCCACCCAGTAGTCAAAAGTTATTTTAAAGCAACTAGGAGATGAAAAGAATGCTGTAATTAATAAATCAACAAATAGGGAAAAAAACGAAATATTTTAGAGAATGGCTAAGGCAACAACAATTAGAACATTTAAAGAAAAGTTAAAAATGCAAACCCCCGAACTGTTAACTAAATCGAGGAAAACAATAAATTAGTATTAGTATGAATTTTATTCGACACCCTCTATATAGTATATGTAGAGTAAAATGTTGCGGCTTTAACAATTCTCTGCGTGCATAAAACTGATATAGATAATATATTAGGTTTTAATATTAATCTATCCATTTTACAGTTTTGATGGCGTTTTTTTTTTATTATTATTGGAAAAATTAAATTGGATCGGGTACTACACACAAATATAAATAAGTAAATAAGTAATATAAATAAAATACTTAAAATAATAGAACTATTCTTCTTATGGTTTCTCACGGGCGTTACCTCTCACCCCCACACAATCATCTCACTATTTATTTAATGCAAAATCTTTCTCACGATAAAAAAAAACAAAAAAAAAACAAAAAAAAAAAATAAAAATTTTTTTTTCTTTTCCAATAAAAACAATTTTTTAATAATAATAATCATGACTAATCCTAATGGAACACACCACTATTCCAGTAGCGAACTTATAAACTTGGAACGCGATTATGGGGCTCACAAGTAAATTCTAATTATTTTGTTTTTTCGATAACAAAACAACAACAATAATAATAACGACAACTAAATGTAATCAATTAATGTCCATTTTATCAATTATAGTTACCATCCACTTCCAGTTGTACTTTCCAAAGGGGAGGGTGTTCATGTGTGGGATCCAGAAAATAATAAATATATGGATTTTTTAAGTGCATACTCTGCAGTAAATCAAGGACATTGTCATCCAAAAATAGTTAAAGCACTTTGTGATCAAGCTCAAAAACTTTCTTTAAGCTCAAGGGCATTTTATAATGATGTATTCGGTAAATATGCTAAATATGTGACCGAGGTAAACTTTTAATTTTAGTGATCATCGACAAAAAATCCGTGTTTGCTACCTTTAATATTTTTTTTTTTAAAATAAAATTAATGAAAATAATAATTTATTTATTTTTAGTACTTCAACTATGACATGGTTTTGCCAATGAATACAGGAGTTGAAGCGGTGGAAACAGGAATCAAACTTGCTCGTAAATGGGCATATGTCAAGAAAGGCATCCCGGAGAATAAAGCAATTATCATATCTTGCACAAACAATTTCCACGGTAGGACAATAAGCGTTATCTCCATGTCAACTGATCCTGATTCACGTCAAGGTTTTGGTCCTTTTATGCCGCTTGTTGGTCCTATTTGTCCTGCAACTGGTAAAAAAGTTGAACATAATTCAGTTAAAGATTTGGAGGATGCATTGGAAGTACATGGTAAACATGTTGCTGGATTTCTCGTAGAACCAATTCAAGGTGAAGCTGGGTAAGTATTGACTTTTTTTTTTTTTAAAGGAAAAAAATTTTTCTTCATTAATAATAAATAAAAATTTGTTATTATTATATTATAGCATAAATGTGCCGGATGAAGGTTATTTGAAAAAATGTTATGACCTTTGTAAAAAACATAATGCTTTATTTATTGCAGACGAAATTCAAACTGGGTTGGCCCGAACGGGCAAAATGATTTGTTGTGAACATGATGGAGTACGACCAGACATATTATTATTGGGTAAAGCATTATCAGGAGGGGTTTATCCAGTATCAGCTGTTTTGGCTGACAAAGAAATTATGTTGTGTATTAAACCTGGTGAACATGGATCAACATATGGTGGTAATCCATTAGGATGTGCAACAGCGATAGCAGCACTTGAGGTGATTAAAGAAGAACATTTAGTGGAAAAGTCGGCTGTATTAGGCGAGAAATTCCGCAAAGCTTTACAAGATATCAAGTCACCATTGATTCAAACAGTGAGAGGGAAAGGTTTATTGAATGCAATAGTGATTGATGAGAAGAAATCCAATAGGACTGCATGGCAAATATGTTTATTACTCAAGTCACGAGGCTTATTGGCTAAACCAACCCATGTCAATATTATTCGATTGGCACCACCACTATGTATCACTGAGGAAGAGTTGATGACTGGTGTTAATATTATTAAAAATGCATTGTTGGATATCGTCAAAATGAACGTTGATGACATTCCTGGTTATTTGGATGAGTTGAAATTAAGCAGCAGTAGCCATTAATTAATCAATTTAAATTTAGTTATAATTATTTTTTCAATAAAACAATTAATTAATTTGCATATTTTTCAAACAATAATAGATTGATTGTATAAGACATTAATTAGTTATATACATTTAATCTTTTAATTGCTATTATAATAATTACATTAATGATTTTTTAATTGATAAATACTTTTTTATTCTTTCCTACACATATTTTAATAAATCTAAATTTTTTTTTTGCATTCATTCTAAAGGAAAAATTAAATAAATATGTTTCTACCTCCTTAATTTATTAATTTAAACCAATTCTTTTACAAAAAGAATGAGAACAGCCTCTTGGCCATCTAATATTATAACAAAATTGTATATGGTGATCATCAATCAGCTCGAACCAATTCTTTACAAGAAAAGAAAAAATCAAGAACACAAATGGTTTGAATAGCGATCGTTTACTTTTAATATTAGAGTTGAATATGTGAAAAATGAAGTTTAAACGCGAATTTGATAACATAAAGAAAGAATTCAAATTTTGAACGCAATGCTCCTTGCATGCTTAAAAGAAACAAGAATAACAATGTTGTTATAAATAAACAATGCAGTATAACAATTATTTAATTAAGCAAGTTTCCCAACACCTCATTCGGGCAAAGATTGGCAGAAGGCCATTAATGTACCACCTTGGCTCAGAAGTTTATCCTTGAAAAAAGTAACCCAATTTTTTTTTTAGATATTAATATTAAAAAAACATTTATAATTTCGAAATTACCAATGTCGTAGTTATTTTTATTTTTATTAACAGATTCTATTTCTTTTTAAAAATTATTTTAAATTTGTTGCAAAACTAACACCCTTATCAATATTTTTCTTTAATTCAGGTATGGCTGCTGACAATAATTCCTTTTCATAGGGACTTAATTCACCTAATGGATAAATTTTACCGACACCTTCTGTACTTAACTCAATATCTGACGCAAAGTAATCAATACCTTGCTCAGAAAATAAATCTGATTTAACATAAGCAGCTTCAATTATTCCTTTTTCACCCTTTACAATTGCACGCAATAATGAATCAGTGAAATGTGCTGCTGCATAGGCCATTGAAAGTGTCGCTGATCCAGTTCCTATTAAAAAGTTTTTTAATAAAACTGCATCCTTTTAAAAATAAATGTAAAAATATTTAAATGAATTCATACCAGCTTTAGCTTTAACAACTTCATCACCACCAAATTGTATTCTATGAGTTAAAGCTTTTGTCTCTTCTTCTGTGAGATTTGATCCAGTTTGAGAAATCAACGGAATAATTGTCACTCCAGAATGTCCTCCAACCACTGTGATCCTTTCATTTTTTGGATCTGTGCCTTTAATTTCTGATATAAAACGAGATGCACGAACAACATCAAGAGTTGTGACACCAAACACTCTATAAATCAATCGATTAATTAATTTTTTTTAAAAAATTAAATATTTGATTTTAAAAATATACTTTTTGGGGTTGTAAACACCATAAGCCTTGAAAATTTCTGATACAATCGGTACAGTGGAATTCACAGGATTGGAAATAATTGCCAAATGTGCTTCTGGTGCATATCTAATTAATTAAATGTGTTTACATGCAAAATTCATTTAGAAAATTTAAATTAAAGAATAAATATAATTAATCTCAAATAGCTTACTTGGCTGCAGCAGTAGCTAAATCCTGAACTATTGAAGCATTAGTCTTGATATCAATTACCAAGAAAAAATATTTTAATTATTGACATAATTATATGACTTTTTTATGATTAAACAGATATATTAAAATTTTACATTGAACAAATCATCACGTGTCATGTTAGGTTTACGAGGTACACCAGCAGGTATTACTATGATATTAGAACCAGAGACAGCATGTTTAAGACCATCATTTTCTGGGAGGAATCCAGAAACCTTTTAATTCGATCCAAAAAAAGCCACCCACTTTTTTTAATTCAAGAGAAAAGAAAATAAATAACTTTTGCAATTAATTAATTAAAATTAAACCTTGCTAGCGGTATTTATATGACTCAAATCGGCAGCAACACCAGGTGTATTAACAATATCATAAAGTGATAAATTTGTTATCAGTTCGTTATGTTTGAGAAGAAGTGAAAGTGGTTGACCAATACCACCAGCTGCACCAAGAACGGCTACTTTAACTGAATTAGTAACAGTAGAAGACGTAAAGTAACGAAATTGTGTTTGTGAAGTCTTCGGATTTAAGCAAACACGATTAATTACGGGTTGTACGGAATTGATAAATTTTAGCATCATATTTTATAATTAAAATTTTCTGATAAAAAAAAAAATTTTTTATTTTTTTTGCTGATCATCATCTAAACATATTTGAAAGTCAAATTTGCACAAAATTTAAAAATAGCGAATAGGCCTATCTAGCTTTAACGTAATAGAGACTTTCTCAAAAACTTATAAGGAAGAGATGATGAAGGCGGGGCATTCCACATGCACTATAAAAACCCGTGACGAAGTAGAAGAGAAAAAAGAGATATTGGGTAATTATATTCATCATTCATTTACTAGAAATTAATTTATTAAAAAAAAACTAGGTAAATCTAAATACAGAAATAATGAATAGATATATATAATATAAATCACACATACAAATAAATGATAATTCATATTTTATTTATCCCAGGACTAATACACCATGAAAAATGAAAAAAAAAACATTAAATTGAGGAATATGACCTTATATAATAGCTTGATAGAGCTTTGTTGGGAATTGTTCTAATTAAAGCTCCGAACAGTTCGATTTCGGTTTCTAAAAGTCAACCCGAACCGTCCGGAGAAACTAATAGGCAGTTCCTAGCATTCTAATTTTTGCATTCTGCTTATTTAGAATTAAATTTATTATGGCAACCAGTGTCCCGGTTGAACGAGTTTTGTCTGGAGGCACAGTCTTAATTACTCAAAGGCGTTGTAATTTAGAACCTGAAACGATAAGAGTTTAAAAAGTTGGAGGAGATGATGAATTTTATATATGAATTGAAAAAAAGTATGACGTTGTTAGGGTTCTATTCGAATAAGGTTTATTTGTTTTATTCGTTATAAATTTGAGTATTCGAATCACATTGGAGGTTTAGTTGAATAAAACAAATAATTCGAATAAAACAAATAAAACGAGTAATTTGAATAGATGAAGAATTAGTGTTAATATTAATACTAATACTATTATTATTACGAATAATGCGAATAAGGATTTGCATCTCGTTTTAAATAAACATTCGAGCAAACATTATACAAACAAACCTCTCGTTTCAATGAATTGTAATTAAATTCACGTTACTATAAAATTTTAAAACCATAAAATTCATTAGTAATTTTGGTATAACGAATTTTAAATGTTATGTATAATATTCCAGAACCTAAAAACCATTTTTTATTAGAAGCACAGATATTGTTAAAACATAAGAATTTGTTCTTATTTGAAAATTTTTAATCTGTCATAAAATTATTGATGATGATTTAAATGTTCTGAATTCAAGCTTCAATTGTTTTCAGTGGTTTGCAAAATCGTGATTTTATAAAACAATTTCAAGTTGGCTTGAGCTCAGCTCGTTTGGAGCTTTATTGTAAATTCAAAATCTGCAATTTCTACTTAATATAGCATTTTGAGGTATTTTCTTTTATATTCCAACAAACTGGATTATAACCACCTACCAATTTGCCAGTTTCTTTAATTTTCATAATTATCATTACAGTTTGTTGAATATTATAACATTTTTTCTCAAAGCTAATCTTCAAAATCCATCTTGAGAACCAATCCAAATTTATATTTCAAATCTTGGACCTTTTTGAAGTAATAATAATCATGGTTGCCATTCATCAGCATGATAATAATATTGAATTGGTTCTTTGTAAACTTCCTTACCAATAACCTCTTTACAAGTTTTGCTTTTTTCATTAAAATCATGTGAAGGGATCATATTAAATCTAATTAGTGGAACAATACCCTTTAAATATGTGTGTTTCAATTAATTATGTTATCCTTGTTCGTCCTAAATATTCTTTTCCAGTTTGATTAATTTTGATTTTATATTTATTGACAAACTCAATCGCTTTTTCCAAATTTTCTATTTGTCCAATTCCCCATGATCTCAGATGTCAATTCCATTTTCAACTTTTAAATAATCAATTTCCAGCATAAACAACATTGTTGATTTTTCAATGGCCTCATCAGGATTGAAAAAAACCAATTCAGGGTTTTTACAAATTAATTCATTATAATTGATATTGTGATGAAAAATCTATAAATTTTGCTTGATCTATCAAATAATTTTGTATGTCTTCAATTAATTCCATTAAAATTTAATTCATCACATGCTTCAAGAAGTTCAAGGCTTTCATTTGAACTCAAATCATTTCATTGTAAATATATAAATAAATAAATAATTTTTATGTTAAAATGGCATCAAATACATTTGGAGAAATATTTTTCTTCTCAAATAAAATAACACCATTGAAATTTTCCTTTATCAAATTCTTACAACCCTACAACAATTAACAATTAAAACCTTCACGCGCGTGAAACTCGAATTAGCCAATCAAAATTTTGTATCACCCAAAATTTAATTCGTGGTGGTCCGCAACGTGGAATAAAAACTTAGTTTTCTGGTTTCTGGTATGACTTTTCAATTTTGCATTTTTCAATTTGTTCATTTATAGATAAATTTTATAGATAAATAAATAGAAACATATAGACAAAAGATGTTTTTAGACATTTCTATAAAACAGCTTTTCTTTATTTTATTAATTTACATGTATGTTGTTGAGGTTGTGCCGCTGGACACAAATGAAGAGAATCTTAATAATTCAAAGGTAAAATTTGGTTTAAAAATTTATATTGAATGTGATAATGATGATAATAATAATAATAGCAATAATAATAATAATAAATATATGCATCTAAGGTTGCCAATTCATTAAAAAAATGTTTTTCAGTTCACATGCTTAATTATAACAAATATTTAAGTGTAAGCTCTGACAAGTTTGATTCTATAATGCATGATGTTTCAATCCCATTAGAGAAAAAAAATGAAGAAATGGATATTATAAGTAATGAATTGAATCATATCAAATCACTAAAGAATCTTACATTTGGATTATTGGAATATTTTTTTAAACTTCTTGAAGAATACCAGAATGGTGGTATAATGTCACAATCTAATTTTAAAAAAGAAACGCTGGAATTAATTTCAACTTTTCACAACTCTGCATTAAAAATGAATGATACAGAGTTTTTCCAACATTTATTAAATCAGTATCATCCAAATGGAAACATAAGGAATGAAAAATCAATTAATCACCATCATCAAAAAAATAAGGATAAAAATAATGAAGAGAAAAAAGACAATTTAGCTTTGGATTTGGTTGATGATATGTTAAAAGAAGTCAGTGATTCTGCTGATAATATTGAAGAAAAAATGAATAATAATAAATTTGTTGACAATCCAAAGGTGCATGGATCTCTTGAAACTGTTGTTAGATTAGAAAAAGATGAGGAAGATTTCTTTTTAAATAATAATGAGCAAGAAGGTGATTCACCTGATGATGATGAAACACATCACAAGTTGCTTGGGTTAGTCGATAGTGACAATAATGAATACATTCTTACTAGACCCCATGATTTAACTGTTTTTTATGAAGGTAAGGTGCAATGGAGTATTTTTAAGGAAAAATTTTCCATATTCCAATTTAATGATTATAATTAATTCTTTTATTAAAATATTTCAGATGCACGATTTTTACAAGATATAGTTGTTACAATAGTTTTATCTTTTGTATTTGGTTCAATTTCACATAGTATTGGATTACCAGGTATATATTGCATTCCAAGTATAAATGTGTGCATGTACAGACACACGTACATTAATTATTAAACTAATTTATCTAACTAATTTATTATTTACATATTTAAAAAATATCTTTTAAACCCCGGATAAGCATTTTTGGGTTATATTATTGCTGGATGTTTACTTGGACCTGCAGGATACAACGTAATCCAGGTATTTTTATAAATTAATAAAGTTTTTTTGATTCAAATATATGTATGTATGTATGTATGTATGTATGTATGTATGTATGTATGTATGTATGTATGTATGTATGTATGTATGTA